GGATCCTCCCGGACTGGGGCACGAACCTGTGTCCCCTGCATCAGCAGGCGGGCTCTCAACCACTGCGCCACCAGGGAAGCCCTCCGTTCCTTTTTATGGCTGAGTAATACTCCATTGTATATATGTGCCACATCTTCTTTATCCATTCATCTGTCGATGGGCATTTAGGTTGCTTCCATGACCTTGGTGTTGTAAATAGTGCTGCAATGAACATTGGGGTACATGTATCTTTTTGAGTTATGGTTTTCTCTGAGTATATGCCCAGTAGTAGGATTGCTGGGTCATATGGTAATTCTATTTTTAGTTTTTTAAGGAACCTGCATACTGTTCTCCATAGTGGCTGTATCAGTTTACATTCCCACCAACAGTGCAAGAGGGTTCCCTTTTCTCCACACCCTCTCCAGCATGTATTGTTTGCAGATTTTCTGATGATGCCCATTCTAACTGGTGTGAGGTGATACCTCATTGTAGTTTTGATTTGCATTTTCTAATAATTAGTGATATTGAGCAGCTTTTCATGTGCTTTTTGTCCATCTGTATGTCTTCTTTGGAGAAATGTCTATTTAGGTCTTCTGCCCATTTTTGGATTGGGTTGTTTGTTTTTTTAATATTGAGCTGCATGAGCTGTTTATATATTTTGGAGATTAATCCTTTGTCCGTAATACACAGAAAATTTACCATCTTAACTATCTTAAGTGCACAGTTAAGTAATATTAAGTACAATCACATTGTATAGCTATCACATCCATCCACAGAACTCTTCATGTTGCAAAACTCTAACTCTGTACCCGTTAAACATGAACTCCTCATTCCCCACCACCCCAGCCCCTGGTAACCACCAATGTACTTTCTATCTCTACGAATTTGACTAAGTACCCATACAAGTGGAATCACAGTATTTGTCCTTTTGTGACCAGCTTCTTTCACCCAGCATAATGTCCTCAAGGTTTATCCATGTGTCAGAGTTTCCTTCCTTTTATTGCCTGAATAATATTCCATTTGCATGCATATCCCACATTTTTATTCATTTTTTTATTCATTTATCTTTTGATGGACACTTGTATTGCTTCACCTTTTGTCTATTGTGAATAATGTTGCTCTGAATATTTAAAATTCTAAGAAATTTCAGACATAGCTAGATGACCATTTATAGCTGAGTATTCCCATATGATGTCATGGTTTCATTGCCTGTATCTGAGTCCATATTTATAAAACCAAATTACTTTGTCATAAACTAACAAGCAAAGAGTAGAGAAGGAATGAATCCATAAATGATGCATCTATGTCAAAGTGAAGGCCAATTTCCCGGTGACTGACTGTACTAGCTGAGGTTTTGTAAAACTTCCAGTAGAAGAAAATAGTGGGAAAATTGGCCATCAGTGCCCATGATAGTACAGGCACATGGAATTCCAGAAGAGCCAATCAGTGGTGCCACAACTATGGGGTAAATCAAATTAACTAAATGTTAATTTGAATTTTATTAGTTTTATACTTTTGTTTGTATTTTATTTGTAAATTTGTTTTGAGTTTAGAATTGAATGAGAGCTCTAAGAATGGGTTGATGTCCAGTTTTTTGTTTCTACAAGGTTTAAGGTAACACTGTGTATAATAAACAATTTAAGGCAGTTAAGGGGGGCGTGTCCCTGAGAACTCTTCTACGGGATTAGGTTATTGATGAGCAGCAACTTGGAGATGAATGCAGATTACTCTAGTGACAATTCAGGGTTGAAGGATGAGGGTTTGGAATAGGGAGGTGGCAGAACACCAGGAGTAAAGAATGCCAATTTCTGGCTAGATATGGGAAAAATGAGAGGACACAAAAGTGACTCCTGAGTTTGGATATCTGACTGTCAGAGATAGGAATGTCCAGAAAGGTGACTAGTTGAAGGGACAGCTCTGCCAAATTTGAGGTGTCCACCAGAAATTCAACTGAAGATACCCAGAGGGCAGCAAAGCTGTAGGACTCCCCATTTCCATCTGCTAAGCTATGGCTCCAGTTAAAAGTTGAGCTTTCCTTCTCAATGCCCATTGGTGTTTCTCTTGTAGGAGTGGGATCAAACTCACCACCTTTCCTCTTTAATTAGCTGTGGACTCAGGGACCTTCTTCAAATGATTACCCAAGCAAGACATATCACCCAAAAGCCAAAAGGGAAAAGCTTGGTAAATTAGAGTATTTTTATAAAAACTTCTGTTTAGGAAAAAATAAAGTCAAAAGACAAACAACAAACTGGGAAAGCCTATTTTAAAAAAAAGTTTTATATTTAAATCATTTCAAATTTACAGAAAAGTTGCAAGAATAGTACAAAGAACTGTATGCTTTCACTCAGACTCCCCAGTTAACAGTTTAACACATTTGTTTTATCATTCTCTCTCTCCATAAAATTCATGCTTAAAGCATTTGAGTGTAAGATGCAAATACACTATATCAGTCAGCCTTAGCATATCAGCACATATTTCCTACAAACTAGGACATGCATATAACCAAGGCCATCCATCAATTAACGTTGCTACACTATTGCCACCTAATTGACAGGCCTCATTCAAAACTTGCTGGTTGTCCCAGTTATATTCTTTATACGTCAAGGATCCAATTCAGGATAATGCTTTCTGTTTAGCTGTATGTCTCTTTAGTCTCTTCAATTTGGACCAGTTCCTCAGACTTTCCTTGACTTTTCTGACCTTGACACTTTTTTTTTTTTTGCAGTATGCGGGCCTCTCACTGTTGTGGCTTCTTCCGTGCGGAGCCCAGGCTCCGGACGCGCAGGCTCAGCGGCCATGGCTCACGGGCCTAGCCGCTCCGCGGCATGTGGGATCCTCCCGGACCGGGGCACGAACCCGTATCCCCTGCATCGGCAGGCGGACTCTCAACCACTGCGCCGCCAGGGAAGCCCCTGACCTTGACGCTTTTGAAGATTACAGATCAGTTACTTTGTAGCATGTCCCTCATTGTTGGGTTTGCCCAATGTTTCTTTCTTTTTTATAAAGACTTTATTTTTTAAAATAAATGTATTTGTTTTTGGCTGCATTGGGTCTTCATTGCTGCATGCGTGGGCTTTCTCTAGTTGCGGTGAGCGGGGGTTACTCTTCGTGTGGTGCGCAGGCTTCTCATTGCAGTGGCTTCTCTCGCTGCTCAGCGCGGGCTCTAGAGTGCAGGCGCAGTAGTTGTGGCGCAGGGGCTTAGTTGCTCCACGGCATTTGGGATCTTCCCGGACCAGGGATCGAACCCGTGTCCCCTGCTTTGGCAGGCGGATTCTTTTTTTTTTTTTTTTAATGTATGTATGTATGTATTTATTTATTTTTGGCTGTGTAGGGTCTTCATTGCTGCGCACAGGCTTTCTCTAGTTG